CTCCGGAGTGGTGGTGGTCTCCGGAGTGGTGGTGGTCTTTGGAGTGGTGGAGGTCTCCGAAGTGGTGGAGGTCTCCGAAGTGGTGGAGGACTCCGAAGTGATGGAAGACTCCGAAGTGGTGGAAGACTCCGAAGTGGTGGAAGACTCCAAAGTGGTGGACCCCGAAGTGGTGGAGGACTCCAAAGTGGTGGACCCCGAAGTGGTGGAGGACTCCGGAGTAGAGCTGGACTTTGGAGTTACTGAGGAAACTGGAGTAGTGGTATCTGAAGCGGTGGCATTTGAAGCGGTGACAGAGGAAACTGGAGTGGTATCAGTGGAAATCAAAGCCGCAGAAGAGCTCACCGCATTCCTTGCACTATCGGAGCTAGAGCTGGCAGTTTCCGTAGTAAAGGCACCTTCAATATCGGAAAGATAACTATTCAAAATGTTGTGCGGTGCAGTATTATTAGAAAATAGGTTCGCAGTCACGTCAGCTCTCTTGATAAGCGACTCACGCTTGAGGAAAGCCGGCAAGACAAAAGCAGTGGCGTTAGATGTGAGCAAAAGGACCGACAAGATCTGGATGTGCTTAGTGAGAATCATCACGCTGGTTCAGAGACAGTTGCGGAGGTTAAAAATGGAACAGGTAGTTAGGGGACGCAGTGTCCGTACTATTGGATAGCAAAGAGGGGTCTAAACACTAGGTTTAAGGGGAAAAGAATGACTGGAGTGGGATTTGATCGCCTCGAAGAAAACGGTTGACGTGGATTTCAGCTGGTAAAGGACTGTCAGAGGGAGGTTTGATATGCGATGCTTCCTACTGATCTTGGAATGAAAAGCTCGGTATCAGTCACAGAAACGATTCGACGATACTTCCAAACTCGTTCAAGAAAGAGGGCGTAGGACGATTAATAGCTAATGACCAGTACGACGTGTCAAAGGAACAGAAGGGAAAAAAAGAATCTTTGCTAGGACAAGTAAAGGAGCGTTTGAGGGTAGAGCCGTGTATTTGAAGTCCCTAAGTCTTCGGCGTGTACAATAATCCCACCGTAGTCGCCTACCTTTCTACAGCTAATGTGCTTTTCTTTTTGTTTGTTCTCACACAATGGGGACAAGACCTTCAGGCGCTGATCGACGCACCAGGTCATGCATGCTTTCCGTGCGCCTTATTAGTGTATCTGGCCCAAAATGGGCATACTGTATGTACCGGCAGACTCCCACGCGTCGCCTTGCAACAAGGTGCACGCTGGCATGGGGCTACCCTCAGCCTCAATGCCCAAAATAGCGTAGTTGCTAGGTATGTGAAAGCTAGGACATCCTCCCATGTCGAGCCGAAGTGGTGGGTATTCTGTTTTGGGCCAGTGTGGACCTCTTCCCTACGGCTCCACCCTGTTTTAAGAAACATTGCGATTTATACAGGTAAAAGGCCGGCAGAGACAAGTCTAACCGTGTAGCTCAGAAGTGCAACGTGTTACGTTGTCGGAAACTTAATTTCCCGCTCATACCTAAGGAATGGCCATTAACCTGAGGATTTTTACTTTGTAAACCCAATGAAATATCGCTTTCGGTCTAAGTAGATTAGTGTGGATCTGGTAGCTTCTAGTCCTCGTCTAACGCGTCGTATAAAATAGTACGCCTCTTACGCACTAGTGGCATTTTCAGCTTCCCGATCCAGAATCCCGGTAACTCCCTTCTACCGTGAGCACAACTGGTACAAGGGCTGTTAAACAGCTTTTAATTGTGTGGTTAAAGCAGCGCTGCAGTGCTTTACGCGAAATATCTTGCGGAAATCCAGACATAAGCACAATATTTATGTTAACGCTTTTTTTTTCCATACGCCTGTCCTGAGATTCCTAGTATGCCTTTGCCGCCGTGCGTAGGAGGTAACAAACCTACTTTAGACGCGCTTTTGATTCACACAGGAAGCCATATATCTTCCTCTTTTCAAAAACCTGCCCTCCTCTTCGGATAGCGCAAGGAAAACTTGGCGACTGTTTTATTCTGAAACAGATGCGTCTCTAAAAGGAGAAAAATTGTTCCATTTATGCGCCTGCGCGCTAGAGAATATTGTCTAACGTAGAATCAGGGGGTGATTAGCGTCACACCTTGCATGTCACGCTTACTCTAGCAATGTTACAAAACCCCCATTCCTTAAAATATTTAGCTTGGTCTAGTACTAAGATCTAAGGATCTCCTTATTTTAGCTTCTTATTATGTTTACAGGTGTCGCGACGGAGTGTGCATACTGGTTTACAACTCAGATGATTAGCCTAAAGCTACATTACTGTCTACATAGCTTGTGTTTAGCTGTAAATCCTCAGGGGTAGCTGCAGGATTGTGCAGAAATTGTGATGCACGCCCTTGCTGGATCACCTGCTCTCAAGTCCTAGTTCGCTGGCTTTTGCATCTAGATCTAGACATCTGCAAATTGGGTGCTTAGGTTGGGTACCCCTCGAAGCATTTGAGAATCATAACCATGTAGATATGTCGCACATTCTCAAGCTCTTCCAGCTACGGGGCACGTATCCAACGCAGGAGGCCTATAACAGGTATGGAATTGCATTTCTTTCGCGTGTTGTCTCGACTGAACCACATATTTAGATGAGCCTGGTACAAGTGCTACATGGTGCTGGCTCAAATCAAGTGTTTGTGTTGTACAGTTATATGTATTCATTCACGTATATATTAAGAAAATCTTGGATAATCCACACATTTGTATTGCTTGACTTAGGATATTAGCCATATACGTGATAAAAATTTAATAAATATAACACAGAGAATGTACCCAGTGCTAATAAATATTAATTTTTGATAATAGAACTATGATTGACATTTAACGAGGAGGTTTAAATCAACAATAAAAACCTTGGCCATATGTATATACGAATACATCATTACTAGCACAAAAAGGTTAAACCATATCAAGCTGAGAGAGCGTATATAAATACGTAAACGGGGCATTAATATATTCCAGTTCTCACTCCTTAACACCATGGATTCGCGCTTGGTGGTATGAGCGATGTTTCATGGTTATGCATAGGCAGTAAGCATATGAAAAAAAAAATAGTTTCGGCTTGCAGGCCCAGCATTAACTGAAACCTCGCTGATAAACCACCCACAGAAATACCCAGACGACATTCGAGCAGCGCTTATCATATCTATTATCTATATACAGAGCGCGTGAAATTTCACGTAGTTTATCATCCTCCTAACATGCGAATCGCGGCAGTAAGCCTTTGGTTCACTGTTTCCTCGCCCATAATCTCCATCAAGTGCGGGATCTTCACACCCGGAATGGATCCCGAAACGGCATATCTGAACGACTCAAACACATATTTTTTGTTGACACTACCATCCTTTTCAAGCACTTCCGCAACTGCAGAATTGAAATCGTTGAAACAGTTATATTTCACAAGCAATGTCAACACGCGGAGCACCGTCAGGATGTCGTGCTTTTGCAAGAACTCGATGGCCTCTGGGCCGGCCAAGTCGGGTTCAGTGAACAAATACGCATGTCCCTTCAACTCTGGGACAAACGTCAAACTAGGCCCAGCCTTTGCCAAAACAGTGGAGAACTTGGCTTTCGTGAAATTGGGGTACAATTTCAGGTACTCAGCAAAATACTCCTCTACCAACACCAGGAGCTGTGTTGGGTTCTTGAGGCGACACCCGAGATAGTATTTATTGAAGAAGTTCAACTTTTTGTCGTCAACCTTGGCATTTCCCTTGGTTAAATCGTCAAGCGAAAACACCTTCGCCATCTCTTCGAGACTGAGGATCTCGCTCACACTCACTCCCTTGGCGCTGGCCTTGACGGGAGCCCAGCCAAACAAGGCCGCAAAATTCACGAGCGCTTCGGGTAGGACGCCACGCTGCTTCATGGTCCACACGCCCGTGTCCCCCGATCGCTTCGACAACTTTTTGTCAGCGGTAGAAGTTAACAACGGGATATGGACAAACTGCGGCGGTTTCCAACCAAGTGCGCTGTAGATCGCAATGTGTTTCGGCGTGGACGGCAACCATTCTTCACCCCTAACCACGTGGGTGATCTTCATGAGGCTGTCGTCGATGACATTGGCCAAATGGTAGGTCGGAAGCCCGTCGGACTTGACCAAAACCGGGTCGTCGTACCGTCTGTCGTTGAGGTTTACCTGCGGCTGCAAGTTGAGCTTTCCGTGGAGAAGGTCTTCAAACGGCGGATAGACCTCTGGAGCCTTCAATCTGATGGTGAAGGATTCCTTTTCTGCTCTTGCACGGCTCGCTTCAGCCAGGATATGGGAACAGTGGCGGTCGTAGGAGGCATTGGTGGGCGGCTGTATCTTTGCAGCAGATTCCCGCAACGAGTCGAGGCGTTCCTTGGGACAAAAACAGCGGTACGCGTGACCGGAGTCCAAGAGTTTTGACGAGTATTGCCTGTAGATATCCGCCCTATCAGACTGTCTGTATGGGCCGTAGGGCTGGGCTTTGGTCATGGGGCCCTCGGTAACCTCCAAACCGCACCATTCTAAACTCTCGTAGATGTTTTTCTCAGCACCCGGCACGAGCCGTTTCTGGTCCGTGTCCTCCAACCTGAGGAGGAACTCGCCGCCGGTGCTCTTTGCGAGTAGGTAGTTGTACAACGCGGTTCTCAAGGAGCCTAGATGCAAGTGGCCCGTGGGGGAGGGCGCGAAACGGGTTCTGGCGGGAGATGTTGGATGCACAGACCTCTTTTCCTCCTTCTCCGCCAAAGACTTTTTCGGCTTCAAGCTGAACTTCGTGAGGGTTCTTACGGGGTGGACCCCGAGACGAGACCAAGCAACATTATGTCTGGAATACCGCGGGACAAACATAGCCAGGGTGCTGGCGAGTTACAAAGCTTATAGTAGTATTTGGGGAAGCAATAGGGGCCAATAGCTAGCGGTTTTAGTATGCGGGCGGCTAGAATTTACCGTGGATGCGGCTTACGCACGTGACGAGGAATCGGTTATTGATCAATGGGAAACTGAATAAATAGAAGATGGCGTGGGATGGGATAGTAATAGCTTAATGATAAAAACGGGATATAGAATAGATTGACAATTAGGTAATATACAATATAAATAGAGTGCAAACGGGAATGACGGGTTACATGTTGTGTTGGTTTCTGGAAAACCCTGACGAGACACAGGTCTGGCCACTTGGAGAAGAGCTTTTGGCTACACAATCGCAATATCTGGATAAGAATAGCATATTTTCGATGCATCTTTGATGAACCAAGGGAGCAGGTAGTGTAACACTAGGGCTTATACTAACTATGAGAATTCTAACAGAAGTACTTCTGTCAATACGCAGGTAGTGGCCTAGTAGAAATGCTCCTAGCGGCACAATAGCCTCTACTAATGAGTCTAGCTTCCAAGAGCACAAGTTTAACAAAAGCTGATGCTTCAACTTTTACCGTATAAGCCCCAGTTATAATCAGATAACTCCATTTTAAGCGAACTACCTAATGTGCTACTCGCAGTTGCATTGACGTTCATGCCAACCCCAACCATAAGCAGCCTAATCCTCTCACTTGCTCTATTGTTTTTTGCTAAACACAAAGTCATTCGCGACGATACCCGATTTATCACACATCTGCCTAAATATGCTGCCGCCGGCCTGGAAGAGGTTCAGCGGAGTGTCGAACTCCATCACCTCGCCCTTGTCCAACACAATAATCCGGTCATAGTTCAAGATGGTCTTTAACCTGTGGGCGATGCACAAAATGGTACAGTGGCCAAACTCATCCACGATGGTGCTCTGGATCTTGGCATCAGTTTCGTAGTCAACGGATGAGGTTGCCTCGTCCAAGATGAGCACCTTGGAGTTGCGGACCAACGCCCGGGCTAACGCTAGCAATTGACGCTCGCCCAACGAGAAGTTGGAGCCGTCGTCACTAACGGTTTGGTCGAGATGGAATTTGTGGTCGGAAGCAGGCGAGTCATGCGAGTGCTCCTCTCTCTTTTCGCCCGCGTGCAGTTTCGTTTCTGCCCTTGCTTCAACCAACCAGCTCCGCTTCAACGCATCCCACAATTGCCAGTCCTCACATTCGCTGAAAGGATCCAAGTTCTGGCGAATAGTTCCGCGGAACAACACTGGATCCTGTGGGATAATGGAGAGCTTCGACCGCAAGTCGTGCAACCCAATGGTGGAAATATCAATTCCGTCCAAGGAAATCGTTCCGGAGTGGAGCTCTGTCAAGCGGAAAAGCGCCATCATGATGGAACTCTTCCCCGCGCCAGTTCTCCCGCAGATCCCAACCTTTTCTCCCGGCTTGATGGAAACCGAAAAGTTCTTCAACACTAACGGCAAGCCAGGTCTGTAGGCCATGGAGACGTTTTCAAAGCACATTGCCCCGTGGGTCGGCCACGTGGCCGGTGGCTTTGTTTCTGGGATCTCAAAGGCAGCTTCCTGGGGGAGGTCATACGCGTACTCACACAAACGCTCGACGGAATTCATATTCGTCTGGACCTGCGTCACGGAGCGGATCATGAGGGAGAGGAGATTAGCAATCTGCATGATGTATGCGATCAAAAGCCCAGCCGAGGCCGCATTAATGCTGAAAACGCCGGAAATACAGAGCATGTTGATGAGGAAGGAGGTGACCGCGGCAATCAAGTCCAACCGCACGGACAACCATCTTTGTGTTGCAATCGATGTGAGCGCGGCGCTGTTCACCTGTTCGAGAAGCTGCTCATGGCGGTGCATGAACCGCGCCTCACCACGAAACGACTTGACGGTGGTCAATCCGTTGAGGGTCTCATTAAAGTGGCCGTAGGTGTGGGATCTGCTGACTGACTCCAAACGCTTGACGTCAAAGGCCTGGGGCTGGTAGTACCCTGCGATGGAGAAGTAGACAAACAAGATGGGTGGAACGGCAAGGGCAAACCATGGGAGATAGATGATGCACATGATAAAGACCCCAAAGATGAAGGACGACGAGTTAAGCAGCAACCGAAGCATGTCTGGGTTGTCATAATCGATGGTGTCGACATCTTTGGTGAAGCGGTTGAGCACTCGTCCGGTGGGAGTCGTGTCCATGAACGCCATCGGTGTCTGCAACACCTTGCGGGCCGCCTGGTTGAACAACATCACACTGGCCTTGTTGTTGATATACGTCATCATGCTGAAGGCAGCGCAGAAGAAGATGAAGGCGGAGAAACAGAACGTGATATAGAGACCGATATAGGTGGAATTTGACATCCACTTGAACTTCTTTTCGATCCAGAAGGACAACCACACACTTTGGAAGAACTGGCAAAACACAAACAAGCTGCAGCAGAGGACGAGCAACGGCACGGCTATGAAGCCAAACACCCCACTGCCCTCGCGGAAATACGCTCTGTAAACCTTGAACGGGATCGATCCGCTCTGGCGGGCCTCCGCGAACTTCGGGGCGGGCGAGGCCGTAAGGTCCTCATGATCGTGCTCCAGCTTATCCGTAGCAACCCTTTCAACCTCTTCAACCTTTTCAGTCTCCTCAGCCTCCTCGGGGCCTTCCTCCTCGTTTAGTTCAGTGGAGTAGTGCATCAAGCTGACGAACGCGGAGTTGCGCCCCGCTAGCTCTGTGTACGTCCCCACATCGATGCTCCCGTCGCCGTTGAGGAACACAATTCGGTCAGCACTGCCGATCAACGACAATTGGTGAGTCGCGAGAATCCGTGTCTTGTCTTTGATGACTCCGTTGATGCACTCGTCCATAATGTGCCGCCCGACTCTGGCATCTACGGCACTCAACACGTCGTCAAGAAGGATGATGTCATGGCCTAAACCCGACTGGCCCCCTTTATAGCGGAAATCACTCGCGTAGATCGCGCGCGCGAGGTTTATCCGCGCCTTCTGTCCCCCAGATAAGGTGATCCCGCGTTCACCCACCTCCGTCATGTCCCCATACTCCAAAATCTCAAAGTCCGCTACGAGCGAGCACGCCGCAACTACTGCTTCATACTTTGAGGCGATCAAGGGTAATCCGAATGTGATGTTATCCTTGATTGTCGCATTCTGCACCCACGGGTAGGAGCAGAAGATAAGCTGGCCTGAAGAGGGGTTTGCGGGGTCAAGGTTGAGCGTGACAGCGCCGGAAGTCTTGTCCATGTTGCCGGTAATGGCTTGAAGGAGAGAAGACTTACCGCTGCCAATGAGCCCGGTGACAACAACGAGCTCCCCACGGCGGACTTCTAGGTTGATGTTGGTGAGGCCCGCAAAGACCGGCGCGGAGGCACTAGCAGAATCGCTTCCAGAGCGTTTGTCTACAGACAGCAGCTCAGGCGGTTCGCATACCGACCCGTCTTGTGGTGCTGACTCTTCTCCCCACACAAACCCACCTCCCTCAACCCGCATCGCCACATCCCCCAACTTTCCGTACTCCAAATACTCCTCCTGGTCATCACTCTCCAAAAACTCGGCCAACCGCTGCAACGCAACGTACGCATCCGCCGAAAAGTTCAATGCCGTGGGCAATAACATCAACGGCTGGCGCATGACGTTGAACAAACTAATCGACGAAAACACATCCGCCGCCCTGAGTGCGCCGCCAAGCGAGTACATGGTCAAAAACGCCACCATGGACGCGAAGATCGGAATCGAGAGCACAATCCCGTTGATGATTGACTTTAAAAACTGGATCCGCAACTGTATAGCCAGTTCGTCGCGGCGGATCAGCTTGAGGATATGGAAGAACGGCATCTCCCACGAGTAGAACTTGATCATCTTGATGTTGCCAATAACCTCGCGAATGGAGTCCACACGGCGGTCGATAAACACGTTCGTTTCCTTGCGCTTCTTGGTGAAAATCTTGGTGCACGAGGTGGTGACGACGGTCAAGGTAATCACCACCCCAAAGCCTGCGAGTGCGGCGACACCGAGGTTGACGATCAAAATCGCTAGACTGATGCCCATGGTGACGGGGAAGATCCAGATGATATGGAGGTACTGGAACGCGCGCTCCATCATGGCCAAGTCGTTTGTCACCAAGCCCGTGACTTTGCCGTTTGTGTACGTTTTGCGCGCGTGCAAGCTCAAGGTGAAGGCCTTTTTGTACGTCACCTGGGTCAAAACGCCCTTGGCCTGGATCCCCGCGAGCATCGAGTAGTGGAAGAAGTGGTTCATGTTTTGGGAGGTGAAAAGAAGTAAGAACATCATTCCGAGCGCATACCCCACGCCCTGCTTTATCGGTATGTGGGGGATGCCCGGGGTGGTTCTGTTCTCGATGAACTTGATCAACGACCGTGCAAGCAACGGGTTGAGCACCTGGCCAACATCGCAGCAGAGCTTGCAAAGGCCCCCGATCCAGAACCGGTGCCGGAAGGTGTCGTTAAGCGCCCAAATTAACACCAGGCGCGGGATCTTTCCGCGGTTTGTCGGGTGTTTGGCGTAATACTGCTCCAAGCGCGTCTTGAAATTTGCTTCGAAGCGCGCCGTGGACTCCTTGAGTGCAAGGTCGCTGTTTTCGAGCGAGTAGAGGTCGTTCACCTCGAGCTGGCGTACGTAGCCGGTGCGCATTATGTCATTCAACCACCAGAACGTGAGGAAGCTCAACCAGTTGCAGTCGAGCATCGGGTACCGTCTGGTGGAGGTTGGTATAGGAGGCATGTAGCTGCCATTGAGCCACCTCCAAAGAACAAACTGTTTTTTGGTTGTGATTTCGGGGACTTCTGTCTCCACCAGGCCTTCAGCGGCGCCGTGCTTACTGGATTCGGTGCTAGAAACCGAGGTCATGACGTAAAGCGAATGAGAGGTAATACTGGTCCAAGCAGTAGATGTAGATCTAAGTGAGATATCTCTAAGCGAGATATAGATCTGGGTGAGATGTCTCTTAGAAATGTCAATCTAAGGGGTAAGATGCAATGACCAACTATTAGAGACTCCAAAGAGTGCAAGTGTGGAGTGCAGGCAACGGCTGATTATATATTGCCAAGCTTTTTGGAATGGTCCGGCGAATTCGCTATATTCCGGGGATTGATCAACGGTCGCTTTCATAAAAGTTGCGGTATTAAATAAGGTATTCCGGTGTGGCTTCAACTGATAAAAAAAAAAACCTCGATGCTGCGTCATCAATCTTCAGATCACGATAGACTACCCCGGAGGATCGCTACAATCTTTCACCAAGGCACGGTGCTGCTGAACTATATATCAAATAACCGATCAAACCAAACTCCAGGCTTCAGAGGTGCTGTTTAACCTGATCGGTCGTATCCTTAAGCACCCAGTATGTATGTATGATTCAGCAATATGCACGACATGAAGTTGGTATATTATGCATCTCGGTGTTTAACATAATAGGGATAATATCCGAGATGTCTATGCTATATGATATAATATGAGGGGAGTGTCATCCATTTATGGGTTTATACCCTTCTGTGCATGAACGCCTCCATCAGATTTTGATCACAAATTCTTCACAGTACGGCAGACATCGCCAGTCCCCTATCATCCTTACCGGAGGGCAGTGTTGCCAATATGATATACTCTGGACCTTGCTCAGAACCACCCAAAGCGTCTCATACTGGCGGGCTTTCTTTTCCTTCCTTCCGAGTTATCTGTCCTGCAGGTTGGCTGCTATGCGTATGGCTGACAAATACGTTACAAGTTCGAGGAACTGCTCCTGCAACGCATCAGGAGCCATAGACGATACCGGGTACCGCATGGAAGCATTATCTGTCATTCAACAGATAGATATAGAATGATCGGATGATAGTGGGAGGGTTTTGTGTACACCCTGAGGTTACAGATTTAGCCATGCGCCGATGCGGCGAAAAATCTCGTGGTGTGTGTGTGTGTGTGTGTGTGGCTGAAGTAGAACCATAGTTGACATCCCTGCCGCAGCACTGTGCTGCAGCTCGTTATAAGTCTAGTAGCGCTGATACTGCATAAAGGCGCTAAGGCCGCGCTTCGCTGGCCTACTAGACATGTAGGTGGAACCGGACGGCATTTCAACCCTTATGGAATACCGTAAATAACCGATAACCCAAAACCTAGAAGCCTGTCAGAGAAGAGGGCCGCCACTGTGTCATTGGATCTTCGAGGGTGCCTCCGAAGGCCCTCCAAGTTTCGTCCAAGCCCAGTTTGTTGTGGCCTATTTAGTGCAAATCAATTGGCCAAGCCATCCTGGAAGCACCATATAAAGGCAATTGACCTTTACGGAGTGGTAAGACTGCTGCGTATCTTCAGTTTCTTTTTATCAGATACAGCAGGAATCGCCACTTCCTAAATAAGCGTTATGCCCGTGTAACCTTCTATATTTACTTCCCTACAGGACCCAAACCTCGATTAGGAAGTAAACGCCGTCGCCACCTTCGATCGTCAAGGTTGGGCTTCCGGAAGGTACCCTTGCCGGCCACTATGCCATCCGAACTGCAGCTCTTCGTGCCACACACGACTTTGGCACGGCTATATGCTAACCCCGCCGCGTGCTTAGTAGCTAATTATCTTGAAAATTTCTTATACGAACCCAAAAGTGAGTCGCCACCAAGCGCCTCATTATAAATAACCCGCACCCCCCCCCCCTAGTACTCTGGGCCCGCGATCTTTACTCCATTACACAGTTGCGTCTATTCCTTACCGTCTAGACCGTTTACTTTTTATATTTTTTCTTCTGTTTAGAACCTACCTTAAGACCTGTTGCTAAGTAGATTCCAACAGCAAAACACCATGACCAAGAAACTAGGCCCGTCATCTAGTAATGAGCTGGCGGATGGCAAGGAAAAGTCGTCGTCACTCACTTCTCGTGATGCTGAAAACCCTGAAGCCTTACAGTTACAGAAACGTTTGCTATCATGGATGATGAGCAACAAGGTGCCGCCGATTCCCTCGGAGGAAGAGCGGACCGCCTACCCCTGGAAGACCGATTTTTTCCTCAAGCGTGTCTTCTTCTGGTGGTTAAACCCGGTGATGAAAACCGGGTACAAAAGGACCCTCGTGGAGGCTGACTTGTGGAAGTTGGAGGGTGACCTCAAGATTGATGAGATGTACGCGCAGTTCAAGGTGAACTTCGAGCGCCGTATCGCTGCTGCGGAGGCCAAGTTCAATGCCAGAGCCAAGAAATCAGATGACGACGTCTTTGTGGTGTCGAACTGGCAGGTGGTGATGTCGCTTTTCGACACGTTCAGATGGCAGTACATCTCCGGGTGTGTCTACAAGGTGTTCTCGGACGTCGGGCTGGCGTTGAATCCGCTTTTGATGAAGGAGTTGATCACCTTTGTCGGATTGAGAGCCTTGGGCTTCGACTACGTGATCGGCCACGGGGTGGGCTACGCCGTGGGAACTTCCCTTATTGTGCTTATCTCCGGTATTTTAATCAATCACTTCTTCCACAACTCCATGCTCACCGGTGCACAGGTCAAGGCCGTCTTGACGAAGGCGTTGTTGGACAAGTCGTTCAAGTTGGACGCTCAGGCCAAGCATGACTTTCCTATCGGTAAGATCACCTCGTTAATGGGGGCGGACTTAGCCCGTATCGATTTTGCCATCGGGTTCCAGCCGTTCGTGATCACCTTCCCGGTTCCCGTTATCATCTGTATTGCCTTGTTGATCCACAACATCGGTGTCTCCTCCCTTGCGGGTATTGGTGTGTTCATCTTCTCGTCGCTTGGGATTGCCTTTGTGTCCAAGACTTTGTTTGCGCAGAGAAAGTTGGTGGGCAAGTTTACGGACCAGAGAGTAGGTGCAATGCGGGAGATCCTCAACTCCATGAAGATGATCAAGTACTACGCGTGGGAGGGCGCGTACGAGGCCAACGTCACCAAGTACAGAACCAGGGAAATGAATATCGTCTTGAAGATGCAGGTCTTGCGTAACTTCATCATTGCTTTTGCTGTTAGTTTGCCGATGATCACGTCGCTCGTCGCGTTTTTGGTCATGTACGGTGTGGGCAGAACCAAAAACCCAGCCGACATTTTCTCCTCCGTGTCGTTATTCAACGCGTTGGCCCAGCAGATGTTGATGGTGCCAATTGCCTTGGCCTCTGGGGCCGACGGCCTCGTTGCCATCGGCAGAATTAAAGACTACTTGCTTGCCAGCGAGGTCAGCTCCGAGGATCGCGATGCCTCAACCGTGAACCAGGAGCTCGACGCCCGAGACATCGCCATCGAGGCCAAGGGTGCGTCTTTCAAGTGGGAAACCTTTGCCATCGAAGCCGATGAGGAAGACGCAGAAGATGAGCAAAAGAACCGTCTTGCCAGAGTCAAAACGTCGCCCGATGCGGCCTCCTCCGTTGTCTCCGCCTCCGCCTCTATCCATGACGCCTTCAACTTGACCGGAGACGAGAAAGAGACGGGCACGCACGACGTCGAAAACTCCACCTTCCCCGGTTTGATCGACTTGTCCTTCTCCATCAAGAAGGGCGAGTTTGTGGTTGTTACCGGTCTCATTGGTACCGGTAAGTCTTCGTTGTTGAACGCGTTAGCCGGGTTCATGAAGTGCAGCACTGGTACCTTAGAGTCTAACGGTTCTCTCTTACTCTGTGGTTATCCCTGGGTACAGAACGCAACCGTCAAGGAAAACATTGTCTTTGGCCAGGAGTTCAAGCGCAAGCTGTACGATCAGGTCATTGCTGCCTGTTCGCTCGAGGCCGACTTGGAGATGTTGCCCGCCGGCGATGAGACCGAGATCGGTGAGAGAGGGATCACCTTGTCTGGTGGACAGAAGGCCCGTATCAACTTGGCCCGTGCCGTGTACGCGGACACCGAGATTATCCTCCTTGACGATGTGTTGAGTGCCGTGGATGCCAGGGTTGGGAAGCACATTATGGACGAGTGTATGATGGGCTTGTTGAAACATAAGACCAGAATCCTCGCGACCCATCAGTTGTCGTTGATTGGCAGCGCCGACAGAATTATTTTCTTGAACGGAGACGGAAGCATCCAGATGGGCACCAGCGAGGAGCTCATGGCCAACAACCCCGGCTTCATCAAGCTTATGGAGTTCAACAGCGAGGCCAGGGAGGAGGAAGAGGAAGAGGAGGCTGTGCTTGGCGACGAGGTCGAGCAAGAGGCTGAGTTGATCAAGTTGCAGACTAACGTTATCGAGACCAAGAAGGACGGCCGTTTGTTCAGCGACGAAGAGAAGGCCGTCAACAGGATCGGCTTCCACGTTTACAAGGCATACGTCAGCCTCGGTGCCGGGTTTATGAAGATGGGGATCGTGCCCGCCTTTATTACGGTTGCGGTTTGCGCCACCTTCTGCCAGCTCTTCACTAACACCTGGCTTTCTTTCTGGACCTCTTACAAGTTCAAGGGCCGCACCGACGGGTTCTACATCGGGTTCTATGTCATGTTTGTGGTCTTATCCATAATCTTCATTTGCTTGGAGTTCGCTATGTTGGCGCTCCTCTCGAACAATGCCGCCAGGAAGTTGAACCTCATGGCCGTCCACAAGTTGTTGCACACGCCAATGTCGTTCATGGACACGACGCCAATGGGTAGAATCTTGAACCGTTTCACCAAGGACACAGACGCGTTAGACAACGAGATGAGTGAGCAGGTCAGATTGTTCTTCTTCCCGTTGTCCACCATCGTCGGCGTGCTTATCTTGTGTATTATCTACCTTCCGTGGTTTGCTATTGCAGTGCCGTTCTTGGCCTTCATGTTTGTCGGCATTTCCGGCTACTACCAGGCCTCAGCCAGAGAGGTGAAGCGTTTGGAGGCTATCCAAAGATCCTTTGTGTACAACAACTTCAACGAGACGTTGGGGGGTATGGACACCATCAAGGCGTACAAGATGGAACATCACTTTATTGAAAAGAACAACCGTATGATCGATAACATGAACGAGGCGTACTACATCACCATCGCCAACCAGAGATGGTTGGCTGTGCATCTTGATATGATTGCCTCCCTTTTCGCGTTGATTGTTTCCCTCTTGTGTGTCACCCACGTCTTCAAGATCAGTGCCTCGTCTTCCGGTTTGTTGGTGTCTTACGTGATGCAGATTGCGGGTTTGTTGTCGTTGTTGATCAGAGCCATGACCCTGGTCGAGAACGAAATGAACTCGGTTGAGAGATTGCTTCACTACGCCACTGACTTGCCCCAGGAGGCCCCTTACGTGCTTCACGAACGTGTTCCTCCACCTGAGTGGCCTTCCAAGGGTGAGATTGTTTTCGAACACACCTCCATGGCTTACAGACCGGGCTTGCCGTTAGTCTTGAAAGACGTCAACTTTGCGGTTAAGCCATCTGAGAAGATTGGTATTTGTGGGAGAACTGGTGCTGGTAAGTCCTCCATCATGACCGCTTTGTACAGATTGTCTGAGTTGGCCGAGGGGAAGATCGTCATTGACGATCTTGACATCAGCACCTTGGGGTTGCGCGACTTGAGATCCAAGTTGTCGATCATTCCCCAAGACCCGGTGTTGTTCCACGGCTCTATTAGAAAGAACTTGGATCCTTTCCAAGAGCAAAGCGACGAATTATTGTGGGATGCCTTGAGAAGAAGTGGTTTGATCGAACTGGCTGATTTGGATAGAGTCAAGGGCCAGGTTTATGCTCCAGACGAGAACGGTGCCACTGGGGAGAACGGGTTGCACAAGTTCCATTTGGATCAGAATGTGGAAGACGACGGTGCCAACTTCTCCTTGGGTGAACGCCAGTTGTTGTCGTTGGCCAGAGCGTTGGTCAGAGGCTCCAAGATTTTGATTTTGGATGAGGCTACGTCTTCTGTTGATTATGAAACCGACGCCAAGATCCAGGCTACGATCGTCAACGAGTTTGGCCACTGTACCATCTTGTGTATTGCTCACAGATTGAAGACTATTTTGAACTACGACAGAATTTTGGTCATGGACAAGGGTGAGATTGCTGAGTTTGATACTCCGCTCGACTTGTTCAACGCGGGGGGTAGCATTTTTAGACAGATGTGTGATCGGTCAAACATTGTCGCTCTGGACTTTTAACTTGTATTTTTTTATTATTTTGTTTTACCTGTTAATTTATTTGATCTTTACGTGCCTTAGGGGCTGTGTAATTTTAAAACGAGGTAACTAAAGGATGAATGTTTTCAATTTCACTTAATATGATTTGGGGGCTGAGTATTACCTAGCCAACTATCAAGCAATGAGTGCTTGGCATTCTCCACCGCCTAGTATTATTTCCGTACCAACCACACGCCTATCTCGGCTTTCAGAGAACCTAACCCGATATAACTGGGAACCCGAGTCCAGGTCACTGGTGAATTATTGAACGCGAGAGGCCGCTGAGAATATTGCAAACTCCTATACCCCACTTGTACCCTGCTCTTCTGGCTATTATCATAAATAACAATCTAAAGTTTCAATAGGACACTGCCTGACAGGCTTAGCGCGTATTCTTCTTGTCTTGGATACTTAAAGACAATTATAGTAGCTTCACCCTTTATCAAAATAAACCAAAATTCCTACCACATTTGCTTGGCGGCTACAATACACTTTATATGATTACAGTGAGGTTAAATTATTTGGTGTCTGTCAATCCACAGCACAAATTACTGGTCGATGGCCTTACCTTAGTCGTTATAACGCGTAGCCGGCGATTGAAAAATTCTTGTCGGTGCATGCAGGCTTGAACTGGCCATCGTAACCTGAGACCTCCTTCGAAGGAGGCTGCATGCATATGGCTAAAAATAGATTATTAGTGACTTTAACCTTGAAAGCGTAGATAGGTATAAACCAACCATCTCCGGATATTATATGTTTGAAATTAGACATACCCGTAAATCAGATAGCTCGCAGGTGGCGTACCACTCCGACCCAGCCTCATGCACGTGAAGGAAATTTCCCGTTCGGGCAAGAGCCATGCATACAGTATAAACACAAGGTGCCGTTTTTGGATACGTCAACGTGCAGTGCCGGGTAAGCGCATCTGGCCTCCGCTCTTCCTCTAGGTACCTTAAAATACCAATTAAAGCTTATCACGACGATCAGCTGGGACAAACCAGTGGGAGTACCGTCCCTTTGGTGCTCATTTCTGCGTCTCAACGAACACAGAAATGTCAGCCGAGCAGGTGTACCTAATTAGGTTGGATGCATCATCCCAATCAGGCGACATTAAGTGCAGGTGATTGGGCGCCCACAGCCTCGTCGCGCCTATTTTGAGACATGGTTTCTTTTTTCGCGCAGACGCTGGAAATCTCGGCTCGGATCAGCGAATCCCCCAATTTTCACTCTACTTTCTATATATATCCGCACTCTGTTCTACCTCCTTCTTCTGACATCCTTCCGTAACAAACACATTCAGAATGCTTTTTAACGTGCTTGCCACCCTTGCCACCGCCGTTATGGCTGTTGCCGCGGACGTCCCAGCGATCGAAATCGTGGGCAACAAGTTCTTCTACTCCAATAACGGCTCCCAGTTCTATATGCGTGGTATCGCCTACCAGGCTGACGTTGCTAACTCGTCCTCCACAACCTTTTCCGACCCATTGGCCGACGCTGCTGCGTGTAAGAGAGACATCCAGTACTTCACGGACCTCAACACCAACGTGTTGAGAGTCTACGCTGTCAACACCTCCCTCGACCACGACGACTGTATGACCCAGTTGGCCGATGCTGGCATCTATGTCATCTTGGATTTGTCCGAACCGGACTTGTCGATTAACAGAGAATCGCCATCGTGGACTATCGAGCTCTACAACAGATACACCTCCGTTGTGGACATGTTTGCCAACTACACCAATACCTTGGGTTTCTTCGCCGGTAATGAAGTCACTAACAACAACACCAACACTGATGCGTCCGCCTTCGTTAAGGCTGCTCTCAGAGACACCAAGGCCTACATCAAGTCAAAGTCTTACAGATCTATCCCAGTGGGTTACTCCTCCAACGATGATGCGGACACCAGAGTCGCGATTGCTGACTACTTTGTGTGCGGCAGCGACGACGAAAAGGCCGATTTCTATGGTATCAACATGTACGAATGGTGTGGTGCCTCCAGTTACACCACCTCTGGTTACTCCGACAGGAGCGCCGACTTTGCCAACTTGTCCGTCCCAATCTTCTTCTCCGAGTACGGTTGTAACACGATCCAGCCTAGAACCTTTACCGAAATCGCCACTTTGTTCGGCAGCGACATGACCAACTTGTGGTCCGGTGGTATTGTTTACATGTACTTTGAAGAGGCTAACAACTACGGTTTGGTTTCGCTTTCCGGTAGCAGTATCTCAACCATGGTCGACTACAAGTACTACTCATCGGAAATTAACAGCATCTCCCCATCGTCCGCCAAGTCTTCTGACCAGACCGCTACCGCTTCTGAGCTCTCCTGCCCATCGCAGTACTCCAACTGGATGGCCAGTACCGATTTGCCACCAACCCCAGACCAGTCCGTCTGCGAGTGTCTTAGCAACTCCTTGGCCTGTACGGTCAAGACCTCTGTCGACGTCTCCGACTACGCGTCTATGTATAGCTACTACTGCGGTGTCGTCGACTGTTCCGCCATCAACTCCAATGGTACCAGCGGTGTCTACGGGATGTACTCTTTCTGTTCCGACTTTGAGAAATTGTCTTACGTCATGAACTTGTACTACATCAGCCAGGGCAAGTCCTCCTCTGCCTGTGACTACTCCGGCTCTGCCACGTTGAATACCAAGACCTCTGCCGCCTCGTCTTGCGGCTCTGTCTTGTCCAACGCTTCAGCTTCCAACACCGTGGCTGCGTCCTCTGGCTCCAAGACTACCGGTACTTCCAAGTCCAGTGGCACTTCCTCTTCCAAGTCCACCTCTTCCGGTAAGTCCGCCGCCCACACTCTCCGTGCACCAGCTCTTAACGGTGTCGCCGTTGCCGCCTTTGTGGTGTCCTTCTTCGCGTGCGGCTTGTCTGTCGTGTTGATGTAGAGTAAAGCATTTACCTCTTAATATATAATGAATATGATCAATGTAGGTGTAAGCCAGGCATTTCCCCGTGATTGTGAGACAAACGAGGTTTGAATCGGGAGAGTATCCAAAAGTGTTAGGAAGAGGTATAGCTGGGGCCATTACTGAAATATCCAAATGGGATGGCCATAACGAAACTAATGAAAGTCGTTATTGCACCAGAAACGCTGAAGCTGCGGAACGATAGTCATATACCCAAGAAGTATTGGATAAGATGACATTTGCAAAATTCATGTTAGCAGATTACTCGTGTACATAAACAGCAAATAGAGGAAATCACTGTCATAGTATCGGCTGAATGCAAAAACCTAGGCGGCCCCATGTAACCACTCTACTTGCCTCATTCTTCGAATCAAATGTATCATTATTCTATAATATACACCAAGTCTCTATAAATACAGTAGGATACAACCCGCTAGCGTCTAACTGGTAATCATGAAGATCTCGTTCAACGCCTTGGCATCCATGGTGGCAGCTCTCTTTTGTCTGATCCACCTCGATCTGACAGCCAATCTGGTGGAGATGGCGACATCCGAGTTTGTGGATGGAGCATCCTTAGGCTTCAACATACTATCACGAGTGACTTTCTCTTTGATTTTCTTTTCTTTCCCATCTTTCTTGTCTTTTTTTTCTTTCTTTTCCTTCCTCTCTTTCTTTTCTTTCTTGTCTTTCTTTTCCGTCTTATCCCTCTTCTCAGTCTTCTCCTTCTTCTCCTTTTTTTCCTTCCTCTCCTTCTTTTCCTTCCTCTCCTTCTTCCCCTTCTTGGGATTCTTTCCGTCCGACTCATCGTCATCTCTGGACCTCTTACCGCTGTAGCTGATCAACTTCTTGGCGTCGGCATCCCAGGTGCTCAGCAATACGTCACCCTTGACGAAATGGATCCCCCACTTACCGTTCAAGATCTTCTGCTCTCTCTGTCTGTCCAACTCCTTGCTGATGGTCTCCTCCTTACCGTTCAAACGCCCCAACAACCTCTGGAACACGTCCAACCCTGTGCACTCGCCGCTGTCGAACTCGTCAGCCTTTTCCTTTCTGGCAATTTTAGCACCCAAACCGACCTTGTCGTCCTTGAGGGTCACTTTGACATGGGTGGTGGTGGCGTGGCCCACAAGACCCAAGCCCTGTCCCTGCTTCCACCCAAACTTTTCTAGCTGCTTGTGCCCGAAACGGGAGGTGTCATTGGACCATTGGGTGTTGCGCGGATCCAACCCAAATCTCTGTTTGGTCTTTGTAGCTGCTAAACCCATGTTGTGCAGTGTGTTATGGATATGGGTTAATATCGAAAAGGCTTAATCAGTGAACCCAGATTATGAAATTGTATGCAGATTGAAAATCACTAGTATGTAAAAAATTTTAATAAAAAGAAAGAAAAGCATTGAGCCGCAGGGAGCTGCATGGTGCGGGCCGAGAAACGATCGCATAGATGTTAGCCATTCGTGGAGAGCATAATAATACCGGAAAGTAGCGACAATACAGAAATAGCCAGTGTTCTACGAAAATAAACGTTATTAAAGAAACTTTGCGGTCGGTACTTTGGTTTAGCCTGTCAAGGGTCTCCTTTACTGAGTGTGCTACGGCCTAGTGGCTATCGAGATGAGTTCATGTATACATATCTCAAAACAAATGAAACCACACATTCATATTTAAAGATCGGGATGCTTATTTTGCCGCATTTTAAGGAAGCGGCGGTATTGGAGGTCTGCACGTATTGAAGTGTTAGCCCCCAACTTCTAACCTGTTGTACAATCTCAATCGTGCTCTGCTTATGATAGAGTATCTTTCGGTCTAATTTTTAGATTCCCTATTCCTTTAGACTTAAATCTCTACACCGTGCTTACTGGCTTATTTCAAAATGCATCCGTAATTGATGTCCATCACCCTCACAGGCCCTATGTTTCATTTTTCTATAATCTCTAACTAGTGTTGGCGACGCTTACCGGCAACGGGCCGTCTGGAAACTCGCCCAAATCAAGTTTGCGGTTCGTGCGCGAGGGACTCGGAGAGCGTGACCCCGCACTTTTCTCCACCCGCACACCCTTCTTGCCGGCCGACTTCAAGGGCCGTGATGTGAGCGATCGGCGCTTGCGGATCTCCAGGGGGAGCTCGTCCGACAGCTTCACTGCGGGGCTAATATCCATATGGCCCGAGGTGTCAAACGACTCATCTTTCGCGCGGTCTTCATCCATACTGACATCGCTGTCGTTCGCTGACGGTACTTCCCAACGCACCTTCTTCGCCGGCTTTGGCGTGGAGGCACTCTTTTTAAACGCACGTTCCGGGGAGAGAGACTGCTCCAGGAGGGGATTGCCCCGCTTGGCGACGTTGGAAACGCGTCTACCAGGGGGCGACGCCTGGATGACGGGGCCGGATGGGTTGATTGTACTCGCCAGGGACGGGTTGAAATACTCGGAACGGGCCAACGACTCGTCATATTCGCCGTTCACCAACCGGTTGACACACTTGTTGTATTCATGGACGGCAGTTTCCAACCGTTCCACCACATCTTGCTGGCGGAGCATTCCATCGTCGTTCGTTCCATTCGCCTGCTGCATCACTATATCCATATTACTCGCAAGTAAGTTGATTAGAAGCGACGAGACAAAACGGAAGGGCTTGAGTTGCACCACGAGCTGGTCGAACATCACCGATGACTTGAACAACACATCGCGCTCCACGGACGTCCCCAACAATTGCACGTGCGCCTGGAACAAAGTTGTGTGGTCTTCAGTCCAGCCATCCATCTCCACAAGCTTGCTGAGCATCTGCTGCGACGAATTGCGCAAGATCAAGTCCGAGTCCAGCTCCGCCGCATACAACTCCTCCAACTCGGCGATCTGCATCATCAACTTGGAGTACAACGTCTCGGAGAAGTGTTTTACGTTGGTGATGCCCTCGATAAGGCCCTCGCACGAGATCAAGTCCACGCTGTCGAATACCTTGTCAAACTCATTTAGGAATTCTTCAGTCTCAATCTTCTGCAAGATGAGGAGCTTGCGCTTGACCAAAATCTGTGCACGTCTGGGCTTCTGCTTCCCAAGTGACGCGCGAAGCGTCTCCAAGCCGTCGTTCAAGGCCGCGAGGATCTTCTGTGTACGCGTCTGGGCTTGCACACATGCCTGGGCCGTAACAGCTGCTTCGCGAGCGCGGAGCTCTGCAATCTCCTGCTTTTGTTCGGTGATCATCTTGAGGTACGAGCCCACGTGGCGGTCTAAGTTGTGGGTATTCCTTTGCACCTTGGTCTTGATCTCCTTTGCGCGGTCCGCATATTTCAACGTGTTGAGCGTCTCATCGTAGTGGTGTGACAGTGGCGACACACACACGATCATTACGGTTTTGCAGTTTCCACCTAACGAGAACTTGAGCAACCGCGTAAGCTTCGAGTCACGGTACGGGATGTGGTTGCGTCGCCTGGGATCGCATAATGCGTTGATACAGTTGCCAAGCGCTAGCAATGACTTGTTAATGTTTGCACCTTCGTGGAGCCGCTGCCCGCGGTTTTGTGTGGCCAGCGCGCGCTCACTGCCTGCGAGATCGATGATGGAGAGCGTCGCGAATACGTGCTCCTCGTTGAGATCCGCCGTGCGCGCGCGTTGCGCGACGTTGATTTGGAGCACGGCATGCGACCGCGATGATGTTGCGTTGGCCTCTGTCGGGCTGGAAGTTCTGTTCTCATTTCCCACCATGATCATGTGCATCACCTCATCCACGGTCTGCGGCGCGTGTACAGACAAGTTTGTCACAGAAATACGCTTGTTTACGTCTTCCCGTAGACTGAGGAGCTTCTTCTCATCCGGGTTGAGGAGATCGCGGATGGTTTCGTTGTATATTTCGAGGTAGCTAAGCGAGACCTCCACGAGCTGCGTGTCGCGGCGCGCGTCGATGCGCGCGAAGAGCTCGCGCATGGTGAGGAAAATGATCCCGGGCGCGTCTGGCGTTCCGGAGATTGTGTGTGTTTTTCCGCACCCGGTCGCGCCGTACGCGAATACGGTCGCGTTGAAGCCGTCGAGCACGCTGTCGAGCAACGGCTTGGTGGTGGTTTCGTAAACATCACTCTGCGCCGCGTCTTCGTCAAAGAGCCGATCAAACACGAAACGGTACTCGCGGATCCGCGCGCTCTTGTTATCAGGGAAGGCGTTGCGTTGCATCCGCTGGAGTGGGTTGCTTTCCGGCGGATCAAAAATGAGCATTCGATCATCCACTACGTTCACGATTTTGCGGAGCCCACGCGGCGCCGCACGGCGTTCAAGTGTAGAGCGGGCTCGCGCAGGCGCCGAGAGCGAGCCGTCGCCGAGAAAAGGCGCGTCGGTTGTGGGTTTCACCAAGTGGGACGTTTCGCCGGGCGTGAACGGCCGTACTCGCACCGCCACTGTGATAGAGGACTCCCGCGAGGGGTTGGCGTTGTACATGAAATGGAGATATGAGGATCTTGGGATAGAGCTGGTAGGTCTCTAATGCTTTTTTTATGATTATGCAGATGGGTGTTGGGGAATTGAAATAATATCGGGATGGGGATCGGTAAGCGAACCTGATCTGACTTGTTTACTTTTAATTTTCTGCAGGATGCGCACAAAAAAGAGACACGAATCGGCGTGTGTGGCCAAAGCAGGTGACCTGATTGTATAGTTCTGAGACGCAAGGGGCAATTGTTTCAGATGGCGATGGGACGTCACGTGTATGAGGTGGCTGCGTTTTCACGGCAAGTTAATGATATACCAGTCTATTAATCGCATCCTATAAAATTCCGTGTTATGTTAAACTGTGTTTAAATAACGGATATTAGGGATCTCTGGCAGGAAGGAGGGTATGGAGTGTGTGGCCCTTCTCGCCTCAACCCTACGTCTGTACTGCTAGAATACATCGCCCCGCCATTCAGCGTGCAGGTCTAGGGATTTCACAACAGTGGCATTTACGACCAGGCTAGGAATTTGTTATCATTGAGGGCAATGTGGCATACTGTTATGAAATATATTAGGGTCACCCACTGCATGTTATTCGCCAGTATTAGATATAACCCAGTAAGACTGTTGCCTATGGTAGAAGTAAGCGGCCCGTGTTACTGCGTTTGAAAGCTCCATTGGGTTATATTAAGTTTCCAAATGACGTGCACCGATGAGTGGTGTGACATCAGATTTAATAACAATCGCATGCAGCAAGATATTCTTTTTCCTTCTCAGCCGCATGTAAGTTGTTCTGATTCAGCATTTGATTTACAAAGCCAGTTTGGGCTCCCAGTTTAGGTATGGAGATGACCTCTGGATAGAGATGGAACTTGTGGTTCGGCGATACCTAAGTTTTAAACGCCTACATAGTCTTGAATCTACAAAGACAAACTTTGTTGTCAATTACCCCTCTTGGGGCAAAATTAAGATTACCCTAACACAGCAATCTTGGGAGATTGGTTCCAATCGATATTCTGGTCACACTGTCCGGAAACTAGCTATGCCTTGCTATTACGTCTTTACTAGTCCTAGAGACGATACCATATTTAGATTCTCCCCCTATTTATCTTTTCGGCTATACGACCCATAAAACTGTAGTTGTTTTGCAAAAATTTCCCCTTTCGTCGCTTGTATATCGTCTACATAAACAACCTGCTACACGTGATTGGCCTCGACTGACGTATTTACTCGCCTAGTGCGTTAAAAGATCCCCCCCCTCTACCCAGTAACTAGAGGGTATAATATGTACAGTCATAGCAGGTGGCGTTCAATGCACCCCGGGCTGACGCGGGCTACGGGACACTACGGAGCCGAAGCGCACGACCGGTTCCGTTTTTGGCCCTGGTTTTCGCGATAGTTCTCGTGGTTACAGACACAGAGAGGCAAAACGAAAGCTCTGCAGAAAAAAAAAGTTCTCGGGATGTGAGATATTTGTAATCCAGAAACGAGAACAAAAGTTCTTTATCACAAACTCAGAGCCGTTTTAGCTATCCACACGGCAGACACTTCCGTTTTTATTCTTAACCCACTTCTTATTCTGGCTCATTTCATTTAGGCCCAGACCATGTCCTTTAACATCAACTGGAACTCGCTTGACAAAGCGTCGTTGACGAACTGGACGAAGGAGCTCCTCACGGACGCACTCAATTTTGGAAAACGGCCGAATGTGCTTGCCTCAGATATCGCCGTCAAAGACCTCAACTTTGGCGACTCAGCACCGGTTTTTGAGATCTTGGAGATTGGCGACTTAGCCCAGGATCGGTTCCGCGGCATCTTCAAGATCCACTACACAGGCAACGCCCACTTGACACTACACACGCAGGTCCAGGCCAACCCGCTCAGCATCTATGACTCCAGCATTCGGGACCAGGGCACTGGATTTGCGGAGCCATCGTTTCTCCTCGCGTCCGAGTCGTTTGCGTTGCCGTTGGACCTCAAGCTCAGCAGCATCAAACTCTCGGGGATCGTGATCATCGTGTTCAGCAAGGAAAAGGGCCTCACACTCGTGTTCCGCAACGATCCGTTGGAAAACATCACCGTCTCGTCCACGTTCGACAACGTGCACGTGTTGGCCAACTTCCTCCAGACACAGATTGAAAACCAGATCCGCGACGTGTTCCGCGAGACGTTGCCCAGTGTGTTGTACCGCCTTTCGCAGAAGTACACCGTGGATAACAACAACTTGCAGGATTTGCACTCCCACTTGATTTCCAAACAGGACGAGGGCGAACGCATCTCGCTCAACGACATCAACCCCGAGGCGCCAAACTTCCTCCTGGCCAAGAACATGAAGAAGTTGGGTACCTTGACGTCGTCCCGACAGACTTTTGCGTTATACGTGCCCTACATGCCCGACGTGTATCAGCGGTCGAACTTAGAGAAGTTTAATAAGCGTATGCCGACTCTTTCCAACGCATTGAATGTTTCGAACCCGCGTTCATTCAACGGGATCCCCGGAGATATTTTGACTAGTGACACGAGCTTTGAAAGCGGTTTGGAGTCTAGCTGGCGCATCAACAAGACGGTGACGGAGATTTCCAAGATCCAGGCCAAAGCATACTACAAGGCAAACTCCAATGTCAAGCCAAAAAGAAGGGTGATCAAGATGGGTAAGGCAAAGTTGGAAACCGAGCCGGAAATGATGGCCCCGGTCAGATTGTCCCCAGTCAGTTTGTCCCCGCCTCCGGTTCTCCAGCCGACGCCAGTAAAAAAGTACACCGAAAGGCTCAACATCCCGTCGCAGCCATCGCCGTTGCATTTCGAATACAGCCACAGGTCGAGCAAGCCCCACACAGTGGATATCAGACCCGTGGCAGAGTCGCCTACTCATTCATCGGCCAACTTGTTTGCCAATGTCGGGCTCGGTTACGCTAACAACTACTTTTTGCATTCAAAGAAGTTGGAGTTGGATGATATTGAGGACCCAGTCACCCCACTGCACGCCTCCAGAAGCCTTAGACTGGTACCTTCTACGGCCCAGATCAAGAGCAACTTGTCGAGATTGAACAGTGCGTTTCAGTTGGACCAGGCTTCTGCTAGATTGCACTCCTTGAAGGTTACGCATCATCCTAAGTATGACCTCAGACCCGCTCCGGTTTCTGAGAAAATCAGATTGCAGAACAGCACCAAGCCTGTATTGGTTCACGACATGCCCCCTCCGTATGCTTTCTAAGTCATAGAGAGCTGTGATTGTCCTCCAATGGCCATTTCTCTGGCTAAGTGCTCCATATTTTTACGATCGGTGATTGCATATTTTCGTTTATCTTGTCTATATTTCACGAGCGGGCTTCTGCCGTGCT